CGGAAGAGGAACGGTTCCCAAGTGGTCTCTGGTCTGTCATTTCAGACAGAACAGTTTTAGAACCGGTTCCCTACTGGAATATATTTGTAATTTCAGACACAAACGCTTCTGTCCCGGTTAGGAAACGGGGCTGAAGCGTTTTACCTGTCAACCACTTCCAAGTAGTCTTCAGTTTCCTCTCCTGGTTCCGATGTGCTTTTTCCCGCCATTTTTCGCCCACGCGGGCGATCTCCGGCTTTTTTTTGGGGGGGGGACGTTCACTTTATAGCGTTATAGCGCTATAACGCTATAATACCCCCCCCAAAAAAAGTCAGAGATTGCCCGCACGGGCGAAAAATGGCAGGGAAAAAGCGGTGCAGTCTGAAATGGCAAACCGCTTCAGATCCAGCTCTTTACCGGAAGGGGAAAGCCATGTGTGAAATGGCAGCCCTATACCGGTTTACTCCACGACGGATCAAAAACGGCTTCAAAACGGGTTAAAAAGGGTAATGTGAAATTCCTCGGTGGCTCAATGGAACCTCCATTTTCAGAGGCAGTGTGCCAGAGACTGGGGATCCAACAGCAGAGGCTTGTGCGAGTCTTCACAGGCATCCTGGGAGAAAAAGACTGCCCCCCTCGGGACTGGCCTACACAGCAGGCCAGTCTTCTCCTTCCTGAGCAGCTCTCCGTCCCTTGGGGTGTTCACTGTTTCTCCTCCCCCACCCCCTCCCCAGAGGGACCGCTGCCATTTTCCAGTTGTGTCCTGAAACCTTGTTCTTTTTGTCAGCCCGCAGGGTTCCCAGCCCTTCAGTCGCCTGTCAGTCTCTTCACACCCTGGTGACTTTTAGTGAATGCGTCCTCCATTATTCATGGAGGGCAGAGAGAGAGACAGGCAGCGCCTTGACCTAATGAGGCGACTAGCAGCTTACAGGCAAGGCCCTGCGCCTCTGGCTTCCTTCAGTCCGGCAACAGTGTGGACCTTTGGAACTTCAAATGCCGAGGACTGACTGCTCTCGGCTCTGAAAAGCAGGGGGGGTGGCCACGTGGCACCAGAGAAGCCCAGAGGAACGAGCCCATGCCCCTTCAGAGCAAGGCTTTATTCTATACAAATTTTATTTGCAAAACTCACATCCCGCCTTTCTGCTCTTGCAAGGGCAACCAAAGTGGCCCGTGATTCGACACATACACGATGAACTCACATTTTAAAGTGAGTTTAAAAACAACCTCCCGCGCGCCTGTCAGCAAGCTGCCATGGAGTTCTGTGTAACATTGTATGTTTCTGGCTTGAGTTCATTCCCCCCCCCCCCCGTGTAACCACGCTCGTGTTTCCGCTGTGCTCATTAGGTAAATTCCTTTCACTGCCTGTTAGGACTGCTTTGAAACTTAGATAATGCCCAAGGTCGACTGCTGGAGGTTGGAAGGAGTATTGGAGTTGCTTTGATTAGTATGTGCTAAGGCTTGAGAACCGAATTAATGTTTATGTTTAAAGACCGTTTGTTCCCAGGGGTTTGGGCGCCTGTTTTACCTGCTTTCCCGCACGCAGGAAAAGGACCCATTGGCCACGGCCTGGTATGATTTTGTTTATTATCTTGTACCCCAGAGGTAGTCTCCATTCTTAACAATCCTTGTGTTCCTGGTTTCACCATCGCTTTAATAAATGCTACTTTGCTACAAACGTGGATTTATTTGAATGCCTGGAGAATCGGACAGCGCCCCCCCCCGTCATTAAAATGCATACTAAAACAGTTAAAATAGATGCAAAACAGAGTGAAAACACATGCAAAACATGAAAAGGGAGAACCGCTGAGCAGGGGTCATTTCCTGCAGGAGCGCACAGGAGCGGAGCTCTGGCAGTAAAGAGCCCAGGGGGCGGGCACATGGAACAAGCCCCACCTCCTGCTCCCAGCACCTCACCATCTTCACTGCTCTCTTCTGGACACATTCGAGCTGGTCTATAGCCTTCTTAAATTGTGGTTGCCAAAACTGAACACAATACTGTAGGTGAGAGTAAAGTGATACCATCACTTCGCGTAATCTGGACACTATACTTCTGTCGATACAGCCCAAAATCGCATTTATCTTTTTAGCAACTGCCCCACACTGCTGACTCGTGTTCAGTGTATGGTCTACGAAGACCCCTAGATCCTTTTCACACATACTACTGCCAAGACAAGTCTCCCCAACATATAATTATGCATTTGATTTTTCCTACCTAAATGCAAAACTTTACATTTATCCCCACTGAAATTCATTTTATTTGTTTTAGCCCAGTTTTGCAGCCTGTCAAGATCATCCTGTATCTTGACTCTTTCTTCTACCGTATTTGCTACCCCTCCCAATTTAGTATCATCTGCAAATTTCCCTCTATCCCTTCATCCAAATCATTGATAAAGATCAACAAAACAGATCCTTGAGGCACTCCACTTGTTACTCCTCTCCAAGCAGATGAGGAACCATTCACAAGCACTCTTTGGGTGCGATCTGTCAACCAGTTACAGATTCACCTAACATTCATAGGATCCAAAGCACATTTTTCCTTGAGCAACATATTGACACATTTTTCCAGTTTGTCAGCAAGAATATTATGTGGAACCTTATCAAAAGCCTTACTGAAATCAAGATAAACTATGTCTACAGCATTCCCCTGATCCAGCAAGGTAGTAACTTTCTCAAAAAAAGAGATAAGGTTAGTCTGACATGACTTGTTCTTGAGAAACCCATGCTGGCTCTTAGTAATTACAGCTGTCCTTTCTAAATGCTCAAAGACTGTCTGTTTGATTATTTGTTCTAAAACTTTCGCAGGTATGTATAGATGTCAAGCTGACAGGTCAGTAGTTACCCGGGTCGTCCTTTTTCCCCTTCTTGAAGATGGGGACAACATTTGCCCACCTCCAATCTTCTGGCACCTCACCTGTTCTTCAAGAATTCTCG